GGTCTCACAACCGTAAAGTGGAACTGATCGTACGGTGGCGCAGTGTACGCGGCTTTTCAACTTTAGTGACACGCCACTTCTTCTGCATACGCTGCTCGAGCCTTCGGGTAATATCTATTTCAAGAGAGGGCACAGTATTCATCTATCTTTGGGATTGCGTTTGGAACGGAAATTGGCAAATCTGACTGCAACCAGTCGACTTGGCTTCTTTTCAACGTTTTCTAGTGCGCCGGTAGGGTAGAGTGGTATTCGAGCTGGCGTATTGGTAGTGATGTGCTCCCGCAGTATTTTGTAATGTTCTAAGTTGAACATAAATGCATTAGTGAAAAAATGAAAGCAGAACAGTATAGCGGGAGACCGCTTTTTACCACCAGTGAGCCCGTCAAACATGAACACAGTTACCAAGTTCCAACTACCAGTGTCGCTATGGTAGATAGGTCTCTTAGAATCAGCAACTCTCACTATAGTCTATGTAGAACAGACGATGTGGTGGCTTTTATGCTCTCTGAATAGCATTCTGGCGGAGGGATCCCTAGTATGAACATGACCGTTCGATCTATCACATGCGCGCCGCGTATACACAGCTGACGAAATCCTCCTATCACTCGCTATCGATTGGTATTGTGTCGATTGAACCAATCAAAGCCCATTAATCCATACATGTTGATAACAAGTTAACAAATGGATCTCGAGAGCTCTTTGTGACAGATCAATGAGGGAAGCAGCGCTAAGAATTTCGGTTAGAAGAAAATTTAGCGTCAAATCATTGAATCGAACAGTGACCGATCGATGATAGAAGCATTTTTTTTACCCACTCACGCCCCGGAAAACTATCAAGATACGAAAATTAGGAGCCACATTACAAATAGAACGGGTCCGTTTACAGACAATGGTCAAAATGTGATTTGAACGGTTGACCAACGAGTACGATTGATTATGTCTCAGTGTGAACTGCAAATCCTAGCCTGAAAGATAGATGCACTGGCACGTCAACAATGGTGCTAGTCTCAAAACGCGTAGAAGATTGATCAAACCTCTCAGTTTAGTTTATACGTGTCGTAATCTTGTGTAACAATAGTGCTAGTCACTAGTTGTGACCTATAAGTTTGGAAAGTGAATACTCAAGTTTTTGTTGTTATTGATATTTTATATTATATATATATATACTTGCTATGCGTGTTTACAACACGCTCACCATTGTTTTCGTTTCTGGTCCATGTTTATCACTAAAGGTTTCCAGCTAACGAAAATTCCTCATCTCCTTCGGATCGAACCATGCACTCTTAAGGGGTGCATCGAGGTCAGTACTGTGGTTCAATTTTTCATACCTAGGTAATCGGACATCTAATTCAAAAGTTAACACATCTTGTCGAATCCCACCATCACTCTGTGCACCCCTTGTTGCCTCCGGGATGCGGATGGTGCTGTGGGGACAAAAGACGGATGGTTTATTGAACTGTATGTTTGTGTTTCATCTCGCTTGATCATCGCACGATGCGACATATATTTGATTGCCTGAACGCACTAATTCTTCTACCCAATTTGTGATTCCGCAGTCATTGTCATGCCTGAAAATCACCCTTGTGGATTCAACATTCACCCCGTACCGTGTATATCATAAACAGGGAAAATTAAATCAAAGCAGACCACGGCGATTCTTTTATTCTGTGCACAAAGAGAGAGAGATGTGGATTAGTTTTATGCAAAGGCAAACGAGTACTTGCCCGAAGAACAGTGGAACGGAGCGTGCGCGCGCGCGCGCGAGAGAGAGAGAGAGAGGAGTCCACGAGGACATGATTGGGGGGGAGGAAGAGGAGTTGGAGATCATCATTGAACAAAATTAGTTCTATGGGATGCGGAACAAGTGACTGCATTTATGGGAGTGTTTGCACCTCTTATCTATGTGCACCAGTATGTATGTGCGATACTGCATCCCCATTCTGTACACCAGTGAGACGGCGTCAATGTTTGCGTGTGTGGTTGTATGTGTAGGCGGGCGAGAGAGAAACATTAGAGAATGGAAAGTGTTAGTGTACAACACAATTGTGAATGAGTGTTTGTTCAAAATCAGTTAAAATCACTAAGATACACGGACGAGAGTAAAAAAAAATTATTTTTCATACTAGTGGTCACTGTGATAACAGTATTAGAAGTATTGATAGAGAAGTGGAAAATCAACAACGACCACAACAACAATAGCGTCCACAACAGTAGCGCAAGACAAAATAAACTATCCACGGTTTGATGAAAAATAAAAATGAAAGGGAAGCAAAAAAAATTAAGTGAGTATCCAAAGGCCTCCGGGGTTGTATGTCCTTTTTCGTACAAACATATGTATATATAGCGAGAAAGAGGGAGCGAATGAGAACCACTCCAAAGAGACTGTTTGAGAAGTGAGTAGATGAGTACAGGGGAAAAGAAAGTGGGAAATCGACTAGGTATGGGTGTTTTTAAAAAGGGAAATGGATGAAGTTAAAAGACCTCGTGCAAGAAAAGCGGACCATACAAGACCGCATTCGGTGTGATTCTCTTTATTGTGTGTGTGTGTGTGTGTGTGTGAATACGAATGAGTTAGCCAGTGTACGTGTAATTGTCGAAGAAGAACACGGTCTCGTTCCGCAATTTTGGGCATGGTCAATGAATGATGGGCCACGAACGTATAATGATCGAAACTGTGACCACGCAACCAAAATTAGCCACCTCCCCCCTCAACCTGGTATTAAAGAGCGGAGAAGAGTGTGACGGGGAGTATGGCTAGGAGCATCTCGTCAGCATGTTAACGAAATTCCATTATGCAATCCAATAGAAGAGAATTGATTCGTTCTCTTCTTATGGGCGTGGCAACAACTAATAAGGGTCCTATGAAGTTCGGAAGTATGCGTGTCATGAGAGGTTGGAAGAACAAAGAAGATGTACGCACTGTTGTTTTGTGTATGCATTGTTGGGAGTGTGTGTGTTTGTGTGCGCGCGTGAGGAAGGGGGTGGTGGAGCTCAAAACAGAGGACGGAATGTTCTAAACAAGTGGTGGTGGTGGTGGTGGTGCTGAAAGCTTCAGGGCGTAATTGAAGAAATAATGAAAGAAAAAGAGTTTTTTGTGTGTACTGCAAACAGAAGATAATTGAGAAGAAATTCACGAAAGAGAGCGAGAAACAAAAGATGGAATTAGTTCTTCCTGGGTTGTCCTTAAAATTCTTAAATGCGTGCTCAATGAAATGGAAAAGACCATGTACATCGAGCGTGGAGTGCACAACATGGATGAATGTGTGTGTGTGTGTGTGTGTGTGTGTGTGTATGTGTGTGACANATTGGGGCAATCCGGGGAGGGGGAAGGGATTGCGAGTTAAAACAATAAACAGATTCCGAAGTCTATATTTTTACAAACACCAAGGGGATATACCCGGCATAGTTGTCAAGGATTTGCGCCCCATTTGTGATGAGGAATGGAAAATATCGTACATGCATACACACGCACATACACGGTTGATTGGCGTTACTTTTCGCGAATTTGAAGGAAGAGAAAAGCAAATAAACGGCTAAAGATCAAAAGTTAGAAAAGAAAAGACAAAACAACATATGAACCACTGAGGTGTCTTGGAGAGAGACGAGAGATAACAGCTCCTGTCATGGAAGTTCTGTGCCAGTAGTTTGGGGAGAGTCTGTGTTCCCGGTCGTGGTCACCGTGATCGATACGGGTGATAGGGTGGCCAAATCACTGTTTCGACGTAGTCTCGCTGTCAGATAGTGTGGAATCTCGTCAGCGGAGGAGCGTGGATGAAGCAGATCAGTCGGACTGATTTCCGATGGCCAGCTTACGCCCGATTTCATGGAGTGCAGAGCTGAGCACGAGACCACGTTACTTCGTCGGTTAGTAGAGGATGTTCCTTCTGCTGATGTAGTCGTTGTGGTGGTGGCAACAGTCAGCAGTGTAGTTGGCGAACGAGTACATGACCCGCTACGACTGTGCCAGAATTGGCCGACAAGCAATGGACGTTGAAGACTAGTGGTTGATGGTCCAGACTGTTCATACAGCCTGTCATGAGTAGTCTGCTCCAGTCCGGTTCGGTCAACACCGCAGTCGGATCGTATGGGTGGGATCGGTGTTGAAATGGGAGGAGGGAGAATGGGTGAATGGAAATAGTCCACTCTTTCCGAGCGAATAATTCGGGCGAAATCGGCTGATGGGGCACTGTGAATACTTACAAAGCTTGCCGAAGGGAAAGGAGCCAAACAGGATCCCACGGACAGGAGCCGGGGCCTATTGGTGGTGGTCTCCGGGTGGTGAGTGGACGATGGATGACTTGATTCAATACGAAAAGTGTCACTACAATCACCATGTTCCAGTTCACCGGTGGATGCAGTGAAAAACAGTCGAGGTGGTGGTGAGGCAGCTAGGACCTCTTGGGCCGTGAGACAACATCGATCCGTTTGGTTCAACGATTCCGGATCGAGTGCGTTTCCCAATTCTAGGAGGGACACCGTGGAGGTGACCACAATACCGTGCTGGTGTTGTTGTTGTTGTTGTTGTTGTGTTTGTGGGACTTGGGAGGATAATGTGACATCTAAAGCACTCTGAACCACCTGAGACTGGTTCCACAGACCTGGTTGCGTGATAATTGGCGAGAGATTCACAGTGGGTATTGTTGTCGGAGCTAGGAACCATTCGGCTCGACGTGTTAGGTTCTCCATTTGCCGCCGTCTGAGAGAACGGTACCGACTTTGATGTCTACGTATTGTGATTACATGTTTGGCCTCTGGAGGTGCATCGATCTGCACTCGGATGGGCGAGTGGAACATCGGTGCTAACTGGTCATCATCGTGCGGCTGTGTGGAAGGCTGTGTAAAAAGAAAAGAAATAGTCATTGTACTCATGAGTAGTATGAATAGCAATCCGAGAAAATGCTGATTTCAAGGCTACAAACGATGCATCACACACGAAGCACATCAATACGGATAAAATCTTACGTCTATTAAACGTGGCAGCTCTTCTCACGATAATATAACTACAATCTGCCACAAAAGTTCCGATCTTGGTCATCAAGTTTGAGATTAACTCTTCGTTTGTAAGTATTAGGAATATGGGATTTTGTGCCAGTGTATTTGGTCACCGCCTTGGTGTCCTCGGAGACGGCATGCTTGGCCAACTCACCGGGCAACAGAAGACGAACTGCAATTTGGATCTCTCTGTTCGTGATGGTCGAGCGCTTGTTGTAGTGAGCAAGACGGCTCGACTCGGAGGCAATACGTTCAAAGATCTCATTGACGAACGAGTTCATGATAGGCATGGCTTTCGAGGAGATACCGGTGTCGGGATGAACATGACGCCAAAACTTGTAGATGTAGATGACGTAGCTCTCTTTCCTCTTGCGCTTCTTCTTCTTGTCGACCTTTGGTACTTTGGCTTTCGAGGCCTTCTTTGCTGCCTTGCCTGAAACAACCTTGGGGGCCATTGCGTAGTAGAGTAACGCCTGCCTTGAGAAAGGTTACCCACGGTAACCGAAACATCGGCGAGTATAATTCTCTACCGACATCGCTGTGTTATTCACACTATAACATTCACAATATGGGATTTTCATAATTACAGTTTACAGTGATGAGTCCCCTAATTATGATGACCCACCCTCCTGTTAACGGACCCAGTGAGCTATTTCATTCGAATTACGGTAGCGAACAACAATAGGATACGTGCGAACATAAGCCGGACAATGTCTGTGTGCGGCTGTGTGGTGTTACACGTCAAGATTTCGTATGATGAAGGTATGCACTAGGAGCAGAACTAAATGCATAACGAACATAAATACATGAATGTGGGTGGGAATGACCGGATGATATGCATTCGTTTCTTTTCACTGTCGTAAAATCTTCACATAATCAATGAAGCTTTTGAAAACCGCCAGTTTGACGAACGGTAATTTATTGTCCTCGAAGTAATTGATGGTGGTCGAACCATCCTCGGGGTAGGTGTCAGGAACACATCAACCGACTAATTGGAGGATGAAGTGGTTTGAGTATTCGATGTGCGCCATCAGAAAACAGTTTGTTTCGGGTAGGCAGTTTAGTGCACTGTTGGTATAAGGCCAGTTGTGGCTGCCTAAGAATGCTTTGCTTTCCAAATCTATACATGGTGCATTGTTAGTTTGGAATAATCCATTCGATTGTTCACAGGCACCAGGCACTGTCGTTAGAAGTCACAAATCGGATTCTCTTTGTGATGCAGAACCAACATCCAAATGAACCGTTTCAATTGTTCTAAAGGAACTTGAGATTCTTTACAGTTAAGGTTACATGTTTTCGGAAAATGCAACTTTTGATCGCTGAAGCTAATTGGTTTGTGTAGAAGAGTCATCAGTTACAGTTGCAATGAACAAGAAGTGATTTTCGCCAGTACACAACACACGAAGTCACAGAATAAGTGTGGCATTGAGCCGGAAGAGGATGAAGCCACACACCACCAAAGTTGGATGACATAATGGCATGTTTCGAACCTCGGAACTTAGGTTTTGAAACACAAGAGTGACAGACATGTACAACACTCACAATCATCGGCGCCGCAACCCATTCTAGTGATTTTATCTCAAACTATTCCAACAATCTGAGTAAAGTGCTCATTAATTTGCCTCCACCTGCCCAATCTTCACGGGCCACAATAGAAAAGACTTGTTTCCCGGGCAGTCAACTTCTGTCCCAGCACGAATGATCAACACTGAGTGACAGAAACAGGTGAGCGCAATGTCACGTAATGTTGACAGGAAAGCATTTGTTCCAGTCAGCCCAGGTATGTTATCAGGCATGTGTGAGTGCAAATCACAATACTACATGTCCAGATTCAACGCATTGGTACCAATGAATCTGATTCGCGTAAGGATGAAAGTGGGGGGCAGTATTTCGAAAGATTTTCAGTTGTAAGTAGGATGTGTTGATAAATATATTCATGAAGCGCGATTCGCGAACTGGGTTGAATAAAAACATGAAATAGTGGTAACGAAACGAGATTAAGTTCACAAAACTATTTGTTCATTCGCATAGAAATAGACCTGCTGGTTTATAGTAGAAATAGCAATTCGGTCAATGCGTGAGCTACATCAATGCACGATGCACAAACGATTTGTTATCGCTCACCGATCTCTCACTGCTCTCTAATGGTTGCTTATTAGGGTTCCGGAAGTATGTTGTCTGACGAGGTACGCAAACAAGCATCTGACACCGGTCAGATTCACATAACCAACAAAGTAATATAATATAGATTGAATGACGTGGCAATAACGGGACTATGTACTTTCAAGAGCAAATCTTGTTTATACCTTACGGAAAACAGTATTCCTGCTTTCCAGTCTACCAGTACGCTGATCATAGTGAAGTGAAGGGATGTGTGGTTTGAAAGGTCATCGTTTCCCTCCCCCTGCTAACGTGACCCGCATAAAATCAACTGACAAATTTCTGCGCTGGGATCAGCAAAACCGTCGAAATATCCCGGTGTTACCCGATTACTGCTACACTAAGTGAACTATAAATACATGAGGGATATATGTAGCTAATTCTCTTCGATGGAAACAGGACGAGTAGAATTTCTGCCACAGGGAAGCTGCCTATTCAGTCGACTGGCGAGCTTGCGGACAAAACGCGCACAGAATGGCGTAGATTTGGATATGAAGGTAGCAACGGGAACAGGTACAGAAAATAATTGACAAATGCCAGCTATTGAACGTCTGTCTGGATAGCCCCGGAGGTCCGAACACATTTGATCTGCCATTCTACGGCGTTACAGTTTAAAACTCGATGGTCCCCGGGGATATATATAGTTGATCAGAGCCACTAACTGGAAGTGAAGTGACTTTAAGGTTATTTTAGTGGTATGTCATAAGGATGACGATATGTTTCACTCAGCAAGGACGAACAATGGACTGGGATCGTACAGGTACATACATTCGGAAACACAAGGGAGGGAGTGAATCACGTGGTTTATATATTATAATTATTTTTCTAGTACGGGGGGATAATCGCACTGTGTTGTTTCGGTAGATAAATAGGTGGATAAATGGATTCATCCGGAGATTCTGAAAAGATCATTGGCCTCGGTCGCATTCATACCCACATATTGACACTGTTTTCGGTCATGTGGGCAAAACACACACTTAGTCACATAATGAAATGATAGGTTGAGATAAAAACATTTCAAAAATAAGTATCACAGAGTTCTGAACTGAAATAATGGGGCTTGGACTATAGAAAGCATGAAGCTGCATTTTTCATCGACCCTGTCTGTAACCCACGATATCAAAACTGTCCAATACGCCGACACACTGGGAGCATATGTAAGGAAAACATTTATCACAACAAATATATTTTGTTAACAGCCAAGCGTGTCAACCCCTTGACGACGTAAAGCATATACTGTGCATACGGTGCGGACACCACATCCAACAAAACCGGAGGTACTGGTAGAAACAAGATAAATCCCGTCACTGATTATTAGTTCAGTTAATTCCATGGTAGGGCAGAATCTCACATAGATGAGCCAGACCCTGTGACAATGCGAAAATGCTGACCAATAAGACAGAACACTTGTCTCGTAAACTGGCTTCCTTGGATTGGCTTAGTTTTTTCTACTATTTCCTGCGTTCTGACCGTTGATAATCATTACCACTCGGTTCACACAATAGCAGTGAATTGAAATTGAGTTGATCAGGCAACTAATGATGATGATGATGGTGTAATTATTGGTATAGGAGAAAAATCGTCTTATTCAGAGTAAGAGAAACCTGGAGCGAAAATCTAGGTGGGTTAGTCTGGCTAAATCTCATCGGCAGGGCGATCCAATGGATCCAGCTGACGATTCAGCTCGAGGTCTCTCCGATGAAACGTAGGAATCCTACCCAGATAAACAATGGGCACAGACAGTATCTGCCTTAACATAAAATGGCACTAGCCAGCTTTTGGCAGATGGCCTACCTCACTCATCTCACCGCGTGGGTGGAAGCATTTCGAACCGGTAAAATCGGTTCAGGTGAGTATTGTTGGAAGATTCATTTTGATTACACAATGAAGTTCAAGAGATTGAAGCACAACTGCATCCATCCTGTTGGTTGTCATCGATAGTGTCATTCCATTGACCCGAACAACGATCCCAACCCGGAGATATCACTTACGGGGTGCAGGAGTATTGCCCATTTGAACCGCGGGTAGACAGTGCAGCTGTTCATTCTCATCTCAACACTATACAACAACATTACGTACCTTTATGGGTTGTGTTGGAATGAAAAATCTGGGCAGTGCAACAGGGATTCGATTAAACAAACCAGAAAGGCATTTGTTTTGAGTGTCAGAGCAGTATGGTCGTCTGTGCGGAGACCAATTGGGTACTATTAGTTGAAATGTCTCTAAAGATAATATAAACCCGACAAACTTACTTCGAACTATTCCTACCTTCTACCTCCTGCTCAACCAGTTATTATTCTCGTGCACCCTACTGTTGTTCAGTGAGGACAGAGTAACTTGATTGTGATTTTGATTAGCATATGTACTATGTGTCCCGATTCTCTATCTAAATTTCTCCAGTACTTTTTCCGACAAATATGTTTGGCGCATCAAATGAATAAACCACATCTGGTCGTCTTAATTCATCCAATCACTTCTGCTCGTAGTGGAGCACGGACCCGTCATACCCAAAGCATGATTGGGTGATGCAAGTTATTATGTATTTACTCCAAAAGCGGAGACCTTAGTTTAAACTTTGATTTTTATTCCAGTTCCATCAAACCTTCCTGCGAGACATGATTCCAAATTTCCACCATAATTCAGGGTTTATCATTGTTATTTACAAATCGGAGATAGCCTCTGTAGTGTGAAGCATGTGTGCTGCACAATGTGTTCAACGGACGTTTCCCTTATGCCCCGCCGCCACCTCCTTTATTCTCTTCTTGTCCACAGTTAAGAATGCTTTTAGCGATCTGGCTCTTGATCCCAGCCGAAAATATGCAGTATTTGCTTTCAGTTTTGCTTTCTCCGAGCTTCATACGCCAGTTTTTTTTCACTCACAACCCATCGTGAGTCCCCATTTCATTCTCAAATCACAGCCAGAAATATCGGCTTAGCACTAGTCATCCAGCCCAGATTATATCGCATCAAATAGTGATGAAAACATGCAAGCCTCTATCCCTCGTTCTCTTTTCTTCTGACGTCTTTCACACGGCGTGTCCCAGCTCTTGAAGGACTGTTCAAGTCTTGTTTAGTGCTAGGCGAGATGTATCCCTATCATTCGTAAGCCGGTGTTATATAGATAGATAGA